TAATAGGCCGTAACTTGTTAAGTTATGGTTCATAACCAGATAACTTATGGACAAATTTGTCAAGTTATGGTTCATAGCCAGGCAAGTTATGGACAAAACCGACAATAACTTGTCAAGTTATGGTTCATAACCAGACAAGTTATGGACAAAAACAGTGATTTGGCCTATTTATTAACTTATGTAAACTATTGGCCTATTAATTTTAATTCATCTCAAGTCTTGACCTATTTCTCTCTTTCACCATTAATTAAAAGAAATCTCAAATTTATCAGAATTCGTAATTGAGTAGGGTTTTTATAATTGTTTGAGACTACTTAAATAATGGTCACTAAAAAAGTATGTAATTGGCACATCCAATATATGTGATTAAAGTGATATTCTCTCTATCTCTTTCTCCCTCTGCTGTGCGTGTAAAAGGATTTTTCTCAGCTATGAAAATTGATGGTTGTTTTAGTAACATCCACACACCGTAAGCTTCAAGAATACGATTATAATGTTGATAGAGTATCCTGAGGCTATCGTCGGATTTGATGCGGTAAATCATCGGATTTCCTCTCGAATCTTGATTATTGCAGATTTACGATTTGACTCGTGAACCTATATAGGAGTCCAAGCACTTTAGAAGATAGTTAATTATGTGAAAATTGTCGTCAAATATTCTAGTTTTAATGATGATTTCCATAAAAATTGTCGTTAAATAGTGAACTTTTAATGACGGTTTCTATAAAAACCATCTTTAAAAGTCTTAATAATTTTTTAAAAAATATTTTAGCCAAAATTTATTTCCTTCATCAAACAACAATGGGTTTAAATATTATTTACAAATTAAAAACATGTCATATTTCATATTAAACAAGGGACGTGTTGTTTTATATAAATGAAGCCAAAAATATTTTAAGATCAATACCAAAATTTACAAGAAACGCTTTGTTTTATACAATCCTTTTTGATCGGAAGATTCTAGAGAAATGGGATTCTAGAATACCAAGGGATTCTAGATAAAAAATTCTTTTATCAGGAAATCTTAGTAAGTTCTAGAGAAATGGGATTTAATTTCTTAGGGAAAAGAATTTTTCAGGGTACGTTCTTTTCTTAAACTTGAGTTATGAAGTTAAATTTAGTATGTAAAATAAAGTATTGTAATAAAAAAGTTAAATTTAAATTTTTATGTGAGAAAATATTGTAATAAAAAATTTAAATTGTGATTTGAGTTAGGTAAAAGAACATGCTCTCAATCTCTACCTCCAAAGTGATCCTAAACGTGATCGAGTATGGTATTTTGTCATTTGGCAGTACATCCATGAATAATGAGTTGAGAAAGATTGGCAAGCCTATATTTTAATCCCTATCAACAAAAATCGACAAACCCACAAGTGTGGGTTAGATTATTTGATCTCAGTTAGCTAGGAATATCATAAATTAGTAATTTCTGATATTGGTATTGAAACTCCATTGAAGATTGATAAGGCAACATTAGAGAATGATTTAGGTAACTTTTCTACTTGCTAGAGTCCTTGCCGAAAACTTGCTTCATATTTTGTGGTCGAAACTTATGAGGGTCATGATTTATTAATGTTAAATATGAGAAATTGCAAATATTTTTCCCTACGACCACAAGCCTGGACCCCTCAAATTTAGGCATAGCGTATGGGAGTGAGAAAAATTTTACAATATTAAAGTCTTGTTCACCTCACGGATTTGAGTTTTTAATTCGAGTTGAGATACGACATTTTTTAAAAGTTTTAACTGTAGCAGAAAAAGTTAAATGTGACATTTTTTTAGAGCTTTTAAGTGTGAAAACTTAAAACTGAAAACTCGAATCGGTGAAATGAACAATACTTAAATCACATATTTTTGAGCCCTTGTCCCTCCAAAACGGCCAATGACTAGTACTAAAAGTATGAATTACTAGGAGCAATGGAAAGTACCTTCGGTGTAGGCTGAGTTTCAATAGTATTAGTATTGCACACGGATTTAAAGTATAATTTAGGCCTCATTCATTTTGCGGATTCGAGTTGAGATGTGATATTTTCTGAGAGTTTTTTACTGTAACAGAAAAAGTTAGATGTAACATTTTTTGAGAACTTTTTACTGTAGAAATTTAAAACTGAAAACTCAGATCGGTGAAATGAACGAGGCCTTAAGGGTCTGTTTAGTTCGTTGATTTAAGTTTATAATTGGAGTTGAGATGTGACTTTATGTGAGAGTTTTTTACTGTAGCAAAAAAATTAGATGTGCATGTTTTTGAGAAATTTTTATTTTAACAAAACTCAAATTCTAAACTTGAAATGAACGGGGCCTAACTTTTTTCATAGAAAAAAATTGCCCAAGACTATACGTTATTATAAGCTTTGTCAAGGAAGTATCCGGATCTGTACTTGTCCAATATGTTCTTACTTTGTCAGCTGCAAAGTTTTATCCTTAAATTGAGAATATTTTACTTTGCTGCCAAGTTTTCATTGATTTTAATTTTCTGAGGCTTATAATATAGGCATAATACTCAACACGGAAACTATCTTTTTCTTGGCAATTCTTGCTTCTGTTAGGTATTGGACCAAATGGATAGACTTTTAACACTTTCCAATTTCCATTACATATCATTATGTTTTGAAGGGTAAAAGACACTGCTCATTCCTAGGGGCCTCTTTCGTGTATAAATTTCTATTTACATGCATATGGTAATAAGTTATTAGCTATGCAACACTTGACGATTAATATTAGAATACAATTTATTGGAATATGGCTTATGGCACTCTTCAATTATTGTGGATCTTAAGTAATCTTTTTGTTTTTGGATTATTTTACATCCATCACATTTTTTTATATATAATAATACAATGATGCCAAATCTTCTAAGGAAATAATTTAGTAAGTTTAGGAGTTTTGGGACAATAATTAATACTCAATATGTGAAGACAGAAAAAAATGTCGAAGTCAGCTGACAACGTCAATTATAAAATAAAAACGAAACTAGTACTTACATATATATGCCTAGTTCAATTCGTGAATTTAACTTTTTAATTTGAGCTGATATAATTATATGTGAAAGATTTTCATTATAACAGAAAAATTAAATGTGACTTTTTATAAAAAATTTTAATTGTAATAAAATTTAAATTAATAAAATGAACGAGACTGTTATATTTAGGGGTGATAATTTATGTCACGTGTCGTGTTCGTGTCGTATTTTGATCATTTTTTTTAAATTTACAATTAACCCGAACACGACCCGTAACACGAAATTTTTTAAAAATCGCAACACGAACACGACACGATCACTTTACGAGTTGACACAACACGACCCGAAATGACCCGTGAATCCGAAATTGACACGAAAATTGTATACTTTTATTTGGTTTTTTACATATTAGAAATAACTTAAAATTCATAACACACTAAATTATAATAACATCCATTGAAATTAAGCAAATAATAGTATAAGATTTTGAGTATAACTATCATGATATTATAAGTTTATAATAAAATTTAAAATATGAAATGAAAAATATATGTATTTTTTAGTTTTTTACGAGTTTCGTGTCATGTTCAGGTTAAGCGGGTCCAACCCAAAATTGACTCGTGTTTTTCGTGTCAATTTTAGGTCGACCCAGTGTTGACCAAAACCTCTTTTTTCTCAACAATAACCTGTAAAATTCGTATCGCGGGTCCAACCCAAAATTGACTCGTGTTTTTCGTGTCAATTTTAGGTCGATCCAGTGTTGACCAAAACCTCTTTTTTCTCAACAATAACCTGTAAAATTCGTATCATTTTTGAATCGTATCATCGTATCGTGATCCATATTACCGGCGTAGTTATATTCCTATTTGTTTTAAGCTAAATCCCATCTCGCTGAGCACCGATAGTTCCATTGATTGGAACTCTCAACTCTGCACTAAACACATCCGTCCATGAATTTATTATTATTTCTTTATTTTTGGTTCAATGTACGCTAGCTTCGTACAAATCTCAAACGCACTTATTAAAGTTTTGTCCACGTTCATAAGATAATTCCAAGGGACATTTAAGAAATGCGAAACGTTTAATATAAAAAAAAAAAAAAAAAGTAAATTGGGACGTTAAAAGAATTCTAGATTACGTTTGCATAGATTTATGTGTTATTAATTGCCATGAACTATCAGAGAAAGTAGCCGAGTTTGAAAGCCATCAGGTTTACTGTTGACTCTTCTCTCTCTACGATTGGCGGAGTCCAGTCTAGCTACCGTAGGTGGCCCCACACCGAATAACTCACCCCGAGCCCATATCCTTTTGCTTCGTTGTCCGCATGCAGAAACCAACAGTATTTATAGAAGGGGACAAGGAAGCAAAAACAAAAATAAAAATAAAAATAAAAATAAAAATGGGTCCCACAAAAGTTGTCCCCGCTTCTCGTAATGTGGGCCCCGCTCGTCGTGGCTATAGGGTCAGCTTTATTGTCCAAGATCTCTCTCCACACTCTCTACAGTATTCATAACACCTCACACGTGCGACAAAGGTGGGGCCCCATGAATTCCCCCTCAGGTCACGTTCACAGCGAGCCCTGTTTTCTGGGCAATAAAAAACAATAATATTTTAATAATACAAAAAGCCAAGCATCTCTCTCTCTGCATCTCCACTCTTTGGACCGTACCATGTGGTGACGTGTCAGAACATGGCAGTGCCACCGTGCATCGGACGTGGCAGATATGCTGCTTGTCGGTTACTGAAAAAGTAAATAAACATGCCTATTAATACACATTTCCTAAAATACCCCTATGACTTTTCCGTTTATTACGGAAATACCATGACTGGAGCGAATCCAGGGGGGGCAGCTTCTTGGAAAATCGGGGTTGAAAGAAAAGTTCTCTCTGCCACTTGAACGTTACTATTTCTATAATTTCAGTTTGGTTTTTTCTTTTTTTTTTTTTTTTTTTTATCTCAAATTCGGAAAAGTTTTTTTTTTTTTGTTCTTTGGGACAAATGAGTTTTGACTTTTCCTATCATAAAAACCAAAGCCTGAATAAAAGCATACTCATTTCCATTGCATGCTTGCTCTCTCCTCTGCCTCATTCGTTCATCCCTTCTTTATTCTCTCATCAAGAAAGAAAGAAAGACAGAGAAAAAAATCATCCTGAAGAAGAAAAGAAAATCACAGGAAAAGCAAAGCATCACCTACTTCGAGTCTTCTTTCATGGCGGTTGAGGCCCGGCACAATATGAATCTCTTCTCTTCCAATCAGTTAATCACAAACAGGTATATACGTGTGTGTCTGTGTGTGTATAGATATAAGCATTCGCCAGCTTTTATTATCCTCTGGAATTTTTCTGATTTGGGTCTTTATTTCTTTGGGATTCTTTTCTTGTGGGCAGAGATTTCATGAAAACCATTCAGGGAAATGGAAATATCTGCGACAACGTCCATTCGGTTTCGTCGACGATTAGCCCCGAGAATTTGGCGTCGTTTTATCGGTCGCCGATTTGTGATGCGAAAACAACGATGAACAAGGCCGATAGTGGCCTCACTTGCAATATTATTAACCCCGCTCCGAGAAAACGACAGAGAGATTCAAATGCAATCCAAGAGTTGAACGCTTTTTCGGTCCCTCAGAAGAGCAAACTCTCCGTCACCGGTTCGTCGTTTCTCGACAAGGACGTTGTCTTCCAGATCCACCAGCACCAGTCTGAGATCGATCGCTTCATTGCCCAGCACGTAAGAAAACTTCAGAAAAATTTTATCGAGTTTTTATTTATTATTTATTTATTTCAATGGTAATAAACTTTTTGTTTTTTATTTTTGGTTTATTTACAGACGGAAAAGGTGAGAATAGAGTTGGAACATCTGAGGAAAAGGCAAGCGAGAATTCTGGTGTCGGCAATCCAAGAAGGAATAATCGCGAAAAAGCTGAAAGAGAAAGACGAAGAAATACAAAGGATGGGAAAGCTGAACTGGGTCCTACACGAGAGAGTGAAGACACTGTGTGTGGAGAATCAGCTATGGAAAGATCTCGCGCAATCGAACGAAGCCACCGCCAACTGTCTCCGCTCGAATCTCGAGCAAGTCCTCCTGGCCACCGCCCGCGTTTGCGACGAACGCCACGCGCCTGGCGCAAATGATGTCGCCATCGCCTTCGCCGACGACGCCGCCAACGATGCAGAGTCGTGCTGTGGAAGCAGCGACTCCGGGAGGGAGGAAAACGACGTCGTTTCGGGGAAGGGCATTTGCCGGAGGTGCGGGGAGAGGGAGGCGAGGGTGCTGGTGCTGCCTTGCAGGCATCTGTGCCTGTGTACGGCGTGTGGGTCCTCTCTCAGAACCTGCCCTGTATGTACTTCTGTCATGACTGCCAGCGTGCATGTTAATTTCTCTTAAATTTTTTTTTTTTTTTTGTTACCATCAACAAGAAGAGAGGAGGAAAAATAGGAAAGAGAAAAACAAATGAAAAAACCTTTTCGTAAAAAGAGAAAAAAAAAACCGAGAGAATTATAGGATTTTGTTTTGATCAATTTGTTCTCGTTTCGGAGCATTGTTCAGAGTCTTTTCTCTTTTCTCTCTCTCTTCTTTTTTTTTTTTTTTTTTTTTTTTTTTTTTTTTTTTTTTTGTTAATAGCTATCGAATTTCTCTTCACAAAGAAAAAAAGAGTATCGAATTTCTCTTCTTTTCATTTGCCATTTTGCATTTATTATTTTATTTGATTTTTTTTAATATTGGCTTTAGCATTATAGCAATAACGCGAACCAGTACAATTTTGTCCAGGAAGCTAATTAAATAATGTCATAAGCACTAAACTTCACCAATTACGTTTATAATTAGGCTGTCTTTGTTTTTGTCACGCTGGGCGTCCTTCCATCTAAATCAATTAACTTTTTCTGAACTTTTTTATAAGCACGAAATTTTTTTCCCCTTTTCCAATGACCTATGCACGATATAATGCGAGTACTTTTATTTTAAAATTTTCTATCATAAAAGAACGGTGTTAAACCTATCAAAATCATATAAACTATAAACATGTTCATTTTACCAATTTAAATTTTTTATTTTTTATAATTAAATTTTTTTTAAAAATATCATATCTAATATTTTTGATTAAAATTTTTTTAAAATATTATATTTTAATTTAAATTAAAAATTTAAAACTATAAACATGTTCATTTTATTAATTTAAATTTTTTATTTTTTATAATTAAATTTTTTTTTAAAATATCATATCTAATATTTTTGATTAAAATTTTTTAAAAATATCACATTTTAATTTAAATTAAAAATTTAAAACTACAAAAGGAAGGAGGTATAGTTGCGATTTCTTTGCAGCCATAACTAATAACTCATTGGTAACAGTCATTATTAGCAACCTTTAGCAATTCGCGAATTCCTTTCTTTTTCTTTTCTTTTCTTTTTTTTTTCCCTCTCTACGGGAATTAATATTGTTTGTCACGTTCTTATTTTTCTTATTACTATTACTTTTTTTATTAAAAAAAACAAGTCTTATGGGAGTCCGGCAGAGAATCCCACCTTGGAAAAGTGAAAAATGGGTGGTGTCCGTGTCTGAGTGAATGAGAAAGGACACGATAGAGGGCAGCTGCGTACGGGGTTCATGCATATGCATTATGCAGCATTCAGGCGATAAGGAGCCTTAAAAGTTGAGACACACCTAATTTTCTTTTTTTCTTTTATGATAAAAAGCCAAAGGTAACATAATAAAGTAAACAAAGACAAGTTTTGGTTGCGTGGGAACGACTCTGCAAAATAAACGTTTTATTGTCAATGTCAGCATTATTGTTCCCTTCAATCGCTCCTTTAGTGGGGACCCTTTATTCATTTTAACGTTACTTTCATTGTCTGTTTCTCAAACCATTCTTCATTACCCCTCTTTTTTCTTACTAGCTTCATTCTTTTCTTTTATTTTCTTTTCCTATCTTTGGGGTGGGAAATCAAAAAGAAATCAATAAAAACTAGGTAAATCAAAAAATAAAATAAAATTACCTTTAGCCCTAATGTGAAGAAGGAGCGAGACATGCTATTCAAGAATGTTTAGGCTTTAGATAATGCGAGCGAGTCGCATGGTAAGTACCTCGGATCGCCATCCTTTGTGGGAAAAAAACAAACGGGCTTAAGTTCAATGCTATTAAAGATGGTGTTCTGCATAAGCTATATGAGCTACATTAGTGTGTTTCAGATCCCTCAAATGTTTTGCAATGAAATCCAATAACTTATCTCTAGATTTTCATTGGATGCATTGAGAGAGGCTATGTATATCAAAAATTGAGGACAGTATGGGGTTCTTAGGTCACGTTCATTTCATCGATTCAAGTTTAGAATTCGAGTTTACATACAGTAAAAAATTCTCAGAAACAGTCACATCTAACTTTTTTGCTACAGTAAAAAACTCTCACATAAAATCACATCTCAACTCGAATTAACAAACTAAACGGACCCTTAGTGTGTCGGCGTTCAACCAAGCTCCCTATTGACCATGTGAATCAACTCGAATTTGTAGTATTCCCTTAGGACAAGGCTCATGTGAAGATCGTATGGTTTTGGCATTTTGATGATAAGGGTCGGTATAGATATAAAGTGGCTACGCCTACAATCTACAAGAGATGCTAATGGTTGTCCGGGTCACAAAGGTGATAGAGTTTGGCGGGCTAAGCTTCGGAGGCTGCATATTCCTAGCAAAGTCAAGAACTTTGTTTGGAGAACTCCCAATGAAATTCTTCCTTGTAAGATGGCTCTCCAGTGGCGAGGTTTTGTGTGTGAGCCGTTGCGTCGGTGATGCGAAGATTCAAAGGAAACGGCCTGGGGAAGCACGCAAAGTTTGGGATTCTTGCGCTTTTTGGGCCGAAATTGTAATCTTTGAATTACCGCTGCCTTGAAGGATTGCGTGTTGAAAGGAGTAAGTCGGATCATCTTCTGACCTTGAGAATTTTTTGCATTATAGCTTGGGCAATCTGGATGGTGAGGAATAATTTTGTTGTTGCCCATTCTCTAGAAAAGTTTGCTTTTCATTCTGTTTTTGATTGGATTGAGCATGATTTTAGGTCCTATGTTTGGCGTAAGCAATAATACCATAGCAACTTTCCATCAAAAAAATAAATAAAAAATAAACAAAATAAAACAAGTTGGGTTCCATGCAAGTTCTAGAGACCAAAGCATGTTTAGAATTTAGATCCTACAAATATGGTAATATTATGAATCTTTAATATTATGAAACTAGTATATGGGTTGTGCTCCATTGAAACGTACAAAACAAAAATTAGAATTAGATGTATAATTCAGTATTATTTTATTTTTCCCCTGAACTCAGTATTAATTCGTTTGATGTTACCAGAAAATGTATGATAATCGTTTTAAACAAAAATTATTATTATTCACGAGTAACAACTATATGATAAGTTGTGTCATTAAACTAAATTGGGGTATACCTTACAAAATAAATAAATAAATAAATTGCGGTATATATGAGTTCATCATGAAAATGGACCTTATAATAAACCAAAAATTATTACACACGTATGTGTATATACATACACACACACATATACATATATTATATGTAACACGTCATATGTAGGGCTAGTGATACTTATTAGTAGTTCTTTCCTATAATAAAAAAAAAAAAAAAACCGGAAATGGTTGTAACTAGCTAGAATACTCTAGAACTATCCCATATTAACGATGTTGTATTATTCCTATTATCTTATCTTATAATGAAAAAGAAAAGAAAAAGTGGTTATACACATGATCAAGACGTAACATGGGCTCCATTTTTATTTCTTCATTTAATATCGTGGCTGTAGACAAGGATAGATGTTCTTCCAACCAACAACACAATCTCGGCCAACTTTTCACGCATTGGGCTTGGTTTTGCATTAAAAAAACACACACACATCTAACAATCTAATCGGATCTAATCTAACAAATAATAATCTAATCTAACAATATAATAATAATACATAAAAGAGTTAAAATTTTTACTATAATACTCTTTCACAGGGACGTCTCTCCCTGCGCCTTCTCCTTCTCCTCTCTCCCTCTCTCTCTTTTTCTCCTCCCCTCTCTTTTTTTCCCCCTCTTTTCCCTGCTTTGCATTATATATTATATATATATCTATTTTTTTATCTTTTAAATGTTTTATTTTTTATTTTTTATTTAGTGGACTTTATTTTTACATTTTAATTTCTTACATTTTTTTAAATATTTTTTTCTCACTTTTACTTCTATGAAAGTAATTATTTGCAAATATTTAATTTTTTATGCGTATTTCTTAAATATATTTTTCTCACTATATTCTGCAAAAGTAATTTCTTTCGCATGTGTTTCTATTTACTTTTTTTTATCAACGGTTAAAATAATTTTCATCAAATGTTTCCTACGTAATTATTTTACGTGTAATTCCTATTGTATCAAAAAGAAAGATTCTATTCACATTTCCTTTTACTTTCCGCACCACCTTCTAACTAATAAACTATACACCCCACTTAAATTTCAAATGATTAAATTTACTTTTTACATATCGCTGGCGAGGAAAGCGATGCGCTTGAAGAGAGACAAAAATAGAGTGTGAAAGATAAGGGTTTTGCGATAAAGAAAAAGAGGACTCTGTTCGCACAAAAGAGCAAAAATATTAATTTTGAGGATTGCGCAAGTATATATGACTACGATTTTTGAAGAAACGTTGTTAAGATTACATTTTAGATAATGGTTTGTAATAAACCGATTACAAACCGTCAGCTAATCGGAGGCACAAAGACGACGATTTCTGAATAAACTGTCTGCATATAGTTGTGATCATTAAATCCACATTTTGTAGTAGCGTACCCATCAATGAAGTCAGATATTTATAAAAAAATAATGTGTTATGAATAGTAGCACACAATATATGTATCTTACTACTAAGAAATGCATGATAGAAACCTATAAATGTTTTCTTCATAATTGCATTACGCATATATAAATGTGATTGAATCACATATAGTAATTAAAAAAATTTCTCAAACGTTAATTTTATAGCATTATCATTTTAATCATCCCGGTTCAATAATCATGTGAAGAATAATTGAAAATCCATATGGACATTCATTGAATGACTAGAAGATCTTTCAAATTAGTAAAATTTCATGTGAAGCTTGTTCTCAGGGTAAATTGATCATAAGGCTTTCATCAGCTAAAATTGAGGCATAATCACCTACATTTTTTAAACATTCAAAGTGAAAACATTCAAGGTGATATAAGTGACTCATACATCCACCGTGCAGACAATTTAGATACTTTATGCCGTATTGATATATGCATCTAGTAGAAAGTCCCATATTTGTCTATTATCAACTCACAATTGGACATTTACGAGATTTCTTGCTAAGTTAATTAGATTACGAGCATAATTTTTGATTATATACAATCAAGAAAGTTAAACTTGATAATGCTGGTGAATTTACATCTAAGCAAATCGAGAATGTGTATGGCTGAGGTCCACGACTCAACACATCTAAGCAACTTATAAGATACCTATCAACAAAGATCTAACTGTATTGTTCAAAGACAATGCTACATATGTCGCTCAAATAAAGGAATGATACGTCAAGAGTGACAAATCAAAACACATACCTCTGAAATTTTTCTCATACCCCTAAGAGCTCGAAAAGAATAGGGATATTGATATTCAATACATTTGATCAAGTAACAATACAACAGATCTTTTCACAAAGGCATTTCTCACTACAACGTTCAGAAAGTATATCCACGGTATCAGGATGCGTCATCTGCCAGACTTATGAAGAAGGACTATAAATGTCAACTTCAGGAGGAGTTTACGTGGCTGTACTCTTTTTTCCTTATTTTCGTTTTATCCCACCAGTTTTTTTATAAGGTTTCTAACGAGCCAGCATAAACACGTATAGATAAATGATGTACTCTTTTTCCCTTTTTTATGATTTTTATCCCAATGAATTTTTCCTCGGAAGGTTTTTAATAAGACATCATAAGTGGTGGACATCTAAGTAGGAGTGTTATAAATAGCAACTGTCCACCTCAGTCAAATTCACTATGCAAATCAGTTAAAGTTACTGTTTATGTCAGAATCTTACTGTGCAAAGAGTAATCGTAAATAGTAGGTATAATGCAAATAATAACCATGAATAGTGTCGAACATTTTCTTATAAATAGAGCTTTTAGATTTTTTATTTTGTGCACCTTCACAAGATTAATGAAATTTTCTCTCTCTAAAATTTTTTTCTTAATTTTACATTCTCTTAGTTTTCATAACAATACGAACTTTTTCCCATCATTACATTTCATATATGTAGATAGACGTGAACATCTACAACTACTTTTTCCAGTCTATGATTATATAATATATTTTGTCGCTTGACAGATGAATGTGATAAAAGATTTGAGTTCATATTCTTGAATTTAAGTCACATATATAAACGCGAAGAATTTCTCGTAACTTTTCTTTTGGAGTAAAATTTTAAAAATGTTTAAACTCAAGTTACAACTTTATTTAAATTTATGTTCATTTATAAAATTTGAGTTTGAATTTGAGTTTTAACTTAAGTTTGAGGCTAAAATATAAGTTCAAGTTTCCCCTTCAACTCAAGTTCTCAAACTGAAACTCAAGTTAATAAACAGTATTTTTTCTATTCTTAAAAACGTCATAACTTTTTCGTTTTAATTTCGATTGAGAAGATTTTTTTTTCTATGCATTCACAAGAAAGAGACGAATAAAATTACACCCATATACCCTATTAAAATTTTTCATCACTATTGAGTTTTTATTAAAATACTATATAAATACAAATTCAAGTTTTGACCCACTCAAATACAAACTCAAATAGATTCTCAATTCAAATCATAAGTCAAATGTGCACATCCAAATACAAACTCAAGTTACAACTTCAACTCAAATTATAACTTAAATTCAACTCAAGATCTACACTCAAGTCACTAAAGGGTCAGCGAAAAAAACTACAAGTCACAAAAAATTAGGGCTTGTTCTTTTACCCTTTTTGAGTTAGGTGACTTGAGTGTAGATCTTGAGTTGAGTTTGAGTTATAACTTGAGTTGAAGTTGTAATTTCAGTTTGTGTTTGGTTGTGTAAATTTGAGTTATATTTTGAGATTAGAATATATTTGAGTTTGTGGTTGGTTGTATAAATTTGAGTTATAGCTTGAGATTATAATCTATTTGAGTTTGTGTTTGTTTCTACTAATACTTGAGTTATGAATAGTATCCTGAAATTTTTTTCTTTCATTTAATTGATTTTATACAATTGAATCTGAATCAATAAAAGTGAATCATCTATAAGTAGTAATAAATTTAAAACAAAATAGGTATTTTTTTCATTAAATAAATTAAAATAACATATAAAAAATTACTAGAAGATTAGTTTCCATTATAAATGGAGAGAAAAAGGACAACAATATATACATAATTAATAACGTAAGTCTACATATACTATTATTAGTGCGTACGACGATTACGGTGCACTGCCCACATTATATGCGCTCTTGCATCCCTTAACGCATTCATCTCTAATTCTGCATTATAATTCAATGGTTGTCCTTCGTGGTTGTTATTGTCATTGATATCCTCTTCAACATTATGGGAATCAATGTCTGCAACCCGAACGCCATCTTGTGAGTATTAATCCAATAGTCTGTCTCCATTACGGTACATGTGGATAAGATTATGGACTATAGCACACGCAACCGGAACCTTAACTTGTTTTCCAATGGGCAATAGTTAATGCTTTTCAAAATACGAAACCTAGCCTTCCACACACCAAATGTTCTTTCGATCACATTACGCAGGGAGGAGTGTGTGTAGTTGAACAATTCACGTTCACTGCGGAAGCCTCTACCACGTCGATTCCTATACTCTTGCAAATGGTATGTTGTTCCCCGATATGGTGCCATGAAACATCCGTTGTTTGCGTAGCCCGAGTCGATGAGGTAGAATTTTCCTACATGTATTTAAGTAATCACAATCAACAGTTATAATCTGGATGCAGTTTACGAATTAGCTAGATATAGAAACATGTACAAGTATGGTTTTGCTCTTATAAACTCCTCAAGAAACATGTACAAGTATGGTTTTGCTCTTATAAACTCCTCAAGAAACATGTACAAGTATGGTTTTGCTCTATGAACTTTTTTCCAGTAACTGAACACCATCTTTTGACAAACTATTGCATATGGATGTTAAATCACAAAACGCATGTGGATGTTAAATCACACAAAATCACAAAACGCCGAACAAATAAATCAATGGATTTGGTTCTATACTTACCGAATTTGAGTCTATGGAGGAGGAAATTTGATACCCTTGGAGATTCCCCAAACGCGAGGAAGGGTTAGCAAGTTTGAGGTACCGGCGATGACAGGGGTAGGGGAAGTAGGTTTGATGTCTCTACTAGAGAGCTTTACACCGCGAACTCTTGCTTCTACATCGAACTACGATGTTTACCCACCGAGGTTGCCGCACCGATGGATTCCCCACAAATTTCCCCGTTTTGAAGGGGAAACAAAAACAATGCAAATCGGCTTCGGAAAGGTTGCGGGCTAGGGTTTCTGAATCTAAGATTGGGGGAAAATAGATCTGCAATGAATTTTGGACAGAGGAGGAAGGGTTATAACATTGAAGGAGCAGACGGTGGTATGGTCAAAAGAGATCTGCAACCTGCCAATCTCAATCATAGGAGAAGTACGTGAACAGTATGGTGTGGAATGAAGGCCTCAAAGGGAGAAAGCTTCGACAGGCATAGCAAAGGTGGAGGAATCTCAATTGTGTGCTCAGGAGGTCAGGAATCACACTATAAAAGTTCAGAGGATTTAACTCGAGTAGGTGGGAGACCATTAACTCAAGAATGGGAGAAAAACTCGTGTTCATTTTCAAGTTTGGTCTCGAGTAACCATGAGCCGAACTTTCACTTGGGCCAACTTTATTCACTCGAGTGGACTTTCTCGAATAAAAACAAGCAACGAACGGGCTCTTGCATGACGCTGACAACTTTTTATTTAAGAAGTTACGTAAAGTCATGAGAACTTCCTTTTATGTCCCTCGACCTCTCTTGCCGAACCGCAAGAGAGAGCTTGACTTGCATTGCTTTTTATTTACGTGCTGAGATATAGATGTCCTGCTTTCTTGTCAGGAAAACGATCGTCCAAACATTTATATTCTTATGAACTATAGTCCTCTGTCTCACATAATAAAATATAATTAATTCATAAAAAATATAATTAATATAAAGAAGAAAAACAGTTCGAATTAAAGCATCTTTTGTCCATTTGTATCCAATTCAAAGGGACACCCGCATTTTTCTAAGAGACAAATTCAGCAAGTCAACTAACACACATGAGTTGATCATGACCTCTCAAATAAACGTCTAATAAAACCAGAAAGAAAAAAAAAAAAAAAAGAAGATGGACCAACTTTTTATTTTTATTTTTTGTTCTGTTTCTTCGCACTTTAAAATTTGTAACGACTTTCAAAGCAAACCGACATTATTTTATTACGTTAACTGCACGGTCTATTAGACAATAATCAGCTTAATTATATGATCTCAAGCCCATTTTGCCATCAAAGACATGCCACCAGCACCCAAAAGAACCGCTACGTATGATTTGACCTGCAGTTTGATGCTGCCTTGCAACTTTGGCCCCATAAAATCTGCAGAGAGAAGATCAACCAGAGCCATGTAGATCAGAAGCCCGGCCGACGAAGCGTTGAGTAATCCGACGGTGATGAGCGCGCTCGGGCTGTTCTCTTTATAGGTACTGGACAAGGCTATTCCAAGAGCTATGCCGAATGGAGTAGTTACGGAGAAGAAGAACACCATGATAGCCTTCTTTAGGAACTTGTACTCTGCCTGCAATATTTCGTTGGACGACCTTAGATGCTTGTAATTAGTTAATGCTAGCTAGTTATGAAATGTTTGACTAAATGGTTTGACAAAAATGGAGATTAATTAAAAGTAGTTGAATTTAATAATTAATTGTTTTTTTTTTATATTTTTATCCTCGTTCGTTTCGTCCGTTTGAGTTAAGAACTTAAGGTAAAAAGTAAATTCATTGAAAAGAAAACACTATATAAAAAAAATTGAATTTGAATTTTTATGAGAGAAGCAGTGAAGTGAAAATTTAAGTTATAATTCGAATTAACGAAATGAATGGAACCTTAATACCTGTAGAATGCAACCTCCGAGACCCATTCCTTCAAACATTTGATGGAAACATAGGGCAGCAATAAGACCTTTTATTGAGCAAGTGTTGTTTGAGGCTCCAAGAGAAAGCCCGATTACAACCGAGTGAACAACGATTCCAAGTTCTAATACCTGTGTACAATCGATTTCTCACATTAACTAAATGAATAAATATACGCAAAAGCATAGACGAACTTTGTTTACGACATGTTAGGGAAAAAAAACACTCATTAGAGCTTAAGCTTTTAGAAGGATTGATAATTTGACTTGGTATCAAGATTAAGGCTGTTCATAAACCCGAACAACCCGCAAACATAACTCATTCCGCTCCAACCCAAGCCGAAAAAAGCAACCCGCAGTATTATTTTTAAATTTTTAGCCCATTATACCTTTGGCCCGAAGTGTTTAGGGCGGATTGCAGGTTGGACCCATAACAACCCGCAATCCCCAACCCAACCCGTACAACATACCCCCAAGCTTTCGGCCTAAGCCCAACCTGCCCAAGTTCTACCCTAGGCTCACTGACATTAGGTAAGACATCTCTAGGTAAGACAATAATTTGTATGTATCTTAATCTATTTTATTATATGAACTCTAAACTATCCAAATTATTACTTAAGCTATTTTCATTTCTCTTGTAGATAACTCAACTTCATGTACTACTACAACCACTGAGGAGCCTATGAGTGTGGATTGATAAAGATGGTTGATGTTGTAATGCTTGCTTTGGATGGATTTGAATTAAGATTTAAGCCTCTATGTTTGCTTTGTTTAAGCTATTTGTTTTATGTTAAGACTAATTTATAAGTGTGGACTAATTTATGTTTACTTTGTATTTGATGTTGGATGGACTATTTTACTTCATGTTTGATGTTAGATGGACTGATAAAGATGATTGCTATTTCTATTTAATAATGAAATTTGAATATTATATTGAACTTTAAGTTTTTGATTTTTTGAATGTTGAAACCGACCACCCAATCCACCCCGCACTGCCCCAACCCAATCCGAACATCGTTGGGTTGTGAAATTTTTCTAGCATCATTGGGGCCAAATATGTGCAACCCGCACTCTTTGGGGTGGGAAAAAAAAATCCTACCCCGCACCAACCCAACCCATGAATAGCCCTAATCAAGATGTAGAGTTCAAAAAACTTATTTGTCTAGAAATATAGACAGACCGAAATTATTCACAACCAAAGAATATACATATAACATAGAGAATTAAAAAAACAATAAAATTTGTATCTCCATAATACTCATAAGTTTTTTTCATTATTATTATTTTTAACTTTGCGGGTAGAAAATTTAAAGTCAACACCTCAAAATGCAGTTAGGCATAAATTAAATTTACTAGTATGCTATGCCTGCATGCACTAATACCCATCACATAAAAACACTATGTCATTAGGGTGGGTGTGGAATTATATCACTAACACCTAACAATTTCATATAATTGCTATTAATAAATATCAAGTGCAAGTAGTTTATTAAAAAAAAAATCAAGGGTAATAAAGAAAATAGGGAGCTTATCTAGTAGGACTAGAAAAAATGCACTACATATGGTTCTCTATTTTTTGCTGTTAAATCTGTTTATTTTATATATTTTTTTTAATCTAATGTGATTTTGACTGTTTAACATTTGAAAACTAATATTACAGTAGGATTGGTCTATCAGAGAAATCCTGAGAAAATAACTAAGAATAAGTAAAACATCATTAAGTCATTAGCAAAAAAAGAGAAAAAAAAGTAAAACGTCATTAAGTGTGACGTTTGGTTCATAAAATCAGACGAATATAGGAAATAAACACCAATTGAGTAATCTTACCATGGCAACAACGCGATAACGTAGAAGCTGTGTCTCCTGAGCTCCTTCCTTGACTACGACTCCATGATGGTGTGCATGAAAATGTCCAGCTCCGACAACAGCCATCTCTTGGTCTCCCTCAACAGCTACATCACCCTGATCAGGAGTTATTCCGGCCTTACTTTTCTTGCCATATATAGCAGTGGCCAAGGAATCCACCATCAAAGTGGCAATAGCGGATAACATGGCCACAAAGCCAGTGAAAGGGAACTTGTGCCACGGATTCTCCTTCAAGCAATCCGACCACAACATGTCGAACGAGTCTGGCAAGACGTGCATGAACCCGGTGGCGAGGATGATGCCCGCCGCGAAGGCCTTGATGACCACGAAGAGGTTCCGATCGGGCTGTAGAGCCGGGAATCTCTTGGTGAACAGAGGGAGGCAAACGCCGATCATGCTCGTGATGAGGATGGTGGCAATGGCTATGATCTTGAGTGGCAACGCTTTTTCCTTGTCATTGCAGGAGTCGTTCGACTGCGAGTTGCAGTCGTCCGACTCCGAGTAAGCTTGGGGAGCAAAGAGGGAGAAAAGAATGAAGAAAATGGCGATAAGTTTGAGAAGTGGTGTAGTGATGGCCATTCTCTCTCTCTCTCTCTCTCTCTCTCTCTCCTTAGATTACTAGAAGGGTTGGAATTTGTTGGTTTTGGGTGTTTTTCTTCGAGCCTGTTTATATAGAGGAGTGCACCATATTACGCGTTTATTAATTATTGTTTTCTTTCGAGAATCTTGTAAAAATAACACATGGTTCTGATCATCAGTTTCCCATAAAAAAAATGTGTAACTAGATGACTTGATCGTTTCTTATTATTACTAAATTACTAATTGTTCTGTTGTCAAAGGAGTTGTTACATTGAAGAGATTCTTTTTCTTTTTCTTTTTTTTTTGAATGAATTATAAGAGAAGACAATATCAATAAGAGATTACTAACACGTTACAATTACGAATTGGTACCAATTAGAAAACCACAATTAAGTACATCACTCAAATTAATTAACAAAAAAAATACAGTAAGGAAAAAAATACAATAAGGGACCAAAGGGCATAACAAAAAAAGTTCTGTTTTCAAAGGAACTGTTACATTGAAGGGATAATATATAAATGCACCAATAATGAAATCAACAATACACTTGGTACTTTTTTCCCCAATATTGACATTTTTTAATGTCATTTGACGTCATTGAACTCACTCTGAACAAGTAACACATAGATTAACAATAACAGGTCCAAAATAACAAAAATCCCCAAAAAGATATAAATGCACCAATAATGAAATCAACAATACACTTGGTACTTTTTTCCTCACTATTGACATTTTTTAATGTCGTTTGACGTCATTGAACTCACTCTGAACAAGTAACACATAGATTAACAATAACAGGTCCAAAATAACAAAAATCCCCAAAAACATGAAGATGAAGATAATGTACGGAATGACGCAAATCCGATTGTGATAAGAAATTAGTATCTTATCTTAGTTGTTCTTATTAGTTGCTAAAATTAAAACAAGGGTAAACGAAAGGTGATGTACGCCGGGCCCTCAAATATTTGTTCTAAACGGCTAATGATCCAAGTTCCCTATATAAAATTAAAGCTTGTGTCCAAACAACTCCGGGAGGTACGAGTGAAGCCGTACAGGAAAAGGAGAGCGTGCCGTACTTGCGTCTGCATGTGTACGGCATAGGTTTCAGCTTGTGGAGTTTGAGTCTTTGAGAACGTGTCGTATTGGTTTTTAATTTTATAAAATCTCTAAAATATCTAGCTAGGTATGGGAATAAACGTTAGTCAGCATAAAACGAAGTCGTTAAACAGTTGTTAAAATTTATGACGGCGGTTAAATATGCGTGTGAAAGTTTAATGAAAGCACTTTAAATGATAATTTTTATGAAAATTGTCGTTAAATGTGCTATTTTTAATAATTGTTTTTTTTACAACAACCGTTGTTAAATGTGATACTTTTAATAAAAAAAATATCTAAAATTTATTTCCTTTTTTAAACAATAATATCTTCACATATTATTTACAAATTAGAAAAAAAAAAAAAAAACTCCCATACTTCATCAAACAACAAAAATAACAACATACAAAGAATATTACAAATCGTTTTGTTCCTAATATTCATCATCAATGTACACATAACACAAATCTAACTAACAAAAAATAATTAAATACAATGAAAAAAGCAAATGAAAAATTTGAATGCAAAAGAAAAATCAAATTTTGCCATTGGAGTGATGATGGTGAACTTGGAGAGGAGCGGCAATGATGACGAACATGGAGAGGGGTGGCGACAACGACGAAAATGGAGAGGGGCAACGACAACGGTGCACGATCATTGGGATTTGAGAGAAAACATTAAGGTTTGGGAGGGGAAGAAATTACAGAGAGAATGGGGAAGAGAGAGAATGAGGAAGTGAGGAAGTGAGAGGGGGATTTGAGAGAAAAATTTAGAGTTTGGAAATGAGAGTTAGAGAGAAGTGGAAGATAGTGCTCGATATTATAAAATGGAAAGAAAAAATTTTGAAATTTGAAACGAAAAGGATGAGTAGGAAAAAGTCTGCCCTTTTTTTTTGAAAATTGTTGACATTTAACGAATGCTTATAGTCGTTAAATGTTGGAGATTAGACGATGTTTTTTTAAAAATCGTCGTCTAATGTCTAGCATTTAACGGCGGTTTTCTAGAAACTGTCGTCTAAAATATAGTATGAAATTTTTGAAACACGAAAATCTTTGTTCCATATTTTTTCACCACATCAGACGACAATTTTGCTTAAAACTTCGTTAAATAAGCGTCATATAATGTAGAATTTGTTGTAGTGAGAGCGATGAATCTTCAAACCAGAATGAAGATGACGTAGACTGATAAATCTTCATAATCAGAATTATAAGAATAGAGATGACGTGGACAACAGAAGAAATGCGTGATTCAAATTTAAGAGGATTAAAAATCTATAAATAGTGGAAGTATGGAGGAAAAATGGATTTTTTTCGCGATTTTAACTTACTAAAACTCTGCCAAATTTGATAGAGAAAAGAAGAGTTTTAGTGAAACAAAGATCAAGTTAGTTGATTTGGAGTTGAAACAGAAGTCGACTCCAACACTAGGATAAAATCATCAATTGATAAACGGGTCACACACATATGTGTCTATTACTTCAATTCTTTAAAATGCTTTTAATTGTTTCGTTTGTTGACGGGGTTATTAAGTATTGAACCTGAACGAATATAAGAAGAAAGAGAAAAAAGGAAAAAAAAATCCTTATCACTGCAACACGTACTATTATATAGTTATTTATTACTGTTATTCTTCTCTGGATAAGGTAGTGCGAATATGAATTAGTATATTTTTCATACTAAAGTCCACGACTTGCGAATCTTTATCTAACGTATTATATTTGAGTATATTTTTCATGAGATGTAAAATATAAAATACTTTATGTGACATTTAGCTAATCCTCTCTCTCTCTTTTAATGGCCCACAGGCTCTTTTGCATTTATGGTTCCGGTGCCTAAAAGAAATTCAGACACATTATATAGAAGTTGAAAAGAAGAAACACAATTTAAAGCCATATTTAGCGACTTTACGTTGTTGGAAGAATTATTGTCTATGGTCTATATCAATTGATGTTCTCCACTAATAAAACTCCTTTTATAAATTTTTTATTAGGTAAAGTTAATTAATCGCACTATACCTTGATAAATTTTTTCATTAAGTATCACAAATAAATTTGATATAAAATTTTTTGTTTATTTATAGTAATAATTATAACAAATGAATAGTCCAAAAGAGATAACGACATATATAGTTAGTAAAAAAAAAAAAAAAAAAGACAAGAGCATGTTTTACAAATTTGTAGATTTTTAAAAGTAGATTGGATGCCATTTAAATGCTCAAACCTAAATTATTTTTTATGACAATTCGTTAGTTAATGAAATAAGCTTCGCACTAAACTTTTCTGATCATTAGTTCATAATTGAACGATTGGAACTTGTGTAAGAGTTTTAAGTGAAACCTTTTTAAATGCTCCTATCATCATCTCGAAACCTAAATATAAAGGATGACTTAAGGTCCGTTTAGTTGGTTGATTCGAGTTTATATGTGACTTTACGTGAGAGTTTTACTATAGCAAAAAAGTTAAATGTGATTGTTTCTGAGAGCTTTTTACGGTAGTAAAACTCGAATCGGTAAAATGAACTGTGCTCTAATTTTCATTATTAGTTCTTATAAAAACGGATTCCATAATTTTATTTTCCAAAATTAATATCAAAGAAAATAATGTTTTTTTTTTAAAAAAAAATTCTGGCCAAGTTCACATGTTTTTCCTAAAGAGTTCAAATTTGTTCAATCTTTTAGTACAAAAAATAGGGATAACTCATTTAAACTCTTAGATTGAATTGATACTACTAACAATGTTCCGGAAAAATTTATAACGACTCGTAAATATTAATCAAACTAAAAATAAATAAATTAACAAGAAAAATGCTAACAATTACACCAGTTTTTAAGGGGTCCCATATCTTATGAAAAATCCATTTGGCACCCACAGTTATTGATAAACAGTACGGAAGGATTTCACAATATGATTGTTCATAGCACAACTCGGCGACAAATATTGAAAAATGAAACTCGCAAAGCATGGAGGGACGATAAAGTTGAGTTTTAGAACCGTAATACTTGAAGAATCCGCGCAAAAAACGTTTCCCTAAAGATTTTCCTTCTTTCAACTCAAAGAAACCAACCCAATACAAGAAAAGATATCTAAGAGTTTGTATACGAATTTCCTAGTTAAGAAAAAAAGTGACATCTTAATCAAATACATTAAAAGAAACTAATTATACATGAATTGGAAAAACGGTTTCATGAGATATATTAGTAAACTATAGTTATGATATATGACTTCTTAGATTGAGTGAAAAGAGTCCAGATATACTGTCTCTATTTTTCTGCCTCGGTGGCTGTCTTTTAACTAATTATCTGTTATGTCATTTAAATTTAAAAATCTGAACACATTATACATAGAAATTAAATACTAAAAATACTTTAATAATTCACGAAGCGTCAAAATTTAATTAAAAATGCAACTACGACAACAGATTTTGACTCGAGTAAAACAATAAAAAAACCTCTGACAAAGCAATAATAACTTTAATTGTTTTAGGATGGTAATAAAATTGCAGCACGTAATTAAATTTTTGATATTTTTGCCCAATTTAACCAACAATTAAATGAGAAATAATGGGAAAAAAAATAGACTGTACTTTTTTGTGTACTTTCTTCTTGAAATGGATCGATAGGTCCTTACTCTTTAATATTATTATGAGGCATGAAACATGATGTAGCAACTAGCAAGTGGCGTTTTATAATATTAAGCTTCTCTGTCTCTCATAATATCTCTTTAATTATTGCTATATCACCATATACATTAAAGTCAAATATGCTTCCATCACTATACTTAGTTTTTGTTATTCTTTATTAATTAGACCATTCCCTAATTTCCTATCATGTACGTCACTTATCATATTGCTTATCTTCACCCCATCCACAAAAACGCATGAAACGCATCGTCTTTCAATTCTTATTATTCGAAGAAAAAATAAATAATGAAAACAATAACACGAGAATATTAGAATGAGAATGGACAGTCGAACTACTCAATAGAGATCCAAAAAACGCAATTCATTAGGAACCTTGCATTAAGGGTCAATTCGTGTTAGTGAGTCGTGTTTGTATCAATCTGTTTATTAATTGTGTCAGAAAATATTAACCAAACACAACATGTTTATTAAATGTGTCAAAAATATCAACTCAAACACGACTCATTTATTAATCGTTAATCGTATCAACTCGTATAATCCGTTTAAATTAATATATCGAATAAATAACTAATATAATAATGACTTATTTAACACGGACAAGACATGTTTAACATGTATATTGATAAATTTATCTTTTCTTTTAAGAAAAATAAATAAATTTTACCTATAAATATTAAAATTCACATTATTTGTATTGAATATAAACTTTCATGTTATATCACAAATCATTAGATTGTAGATGACACATATAGTTAATTGTGTAAATTCATATTATTTCGTGTTAGGAGGTCAACCCTAATCCAACTCATTTATTAATCGTGTTAATCGTGTCAACCCGATTATGACTCAAACCCATTTATAGTAAACTCAAATCCGCTAACTTCGTGCAGATTTCGAGTAGTATTGTCGTGTCGCTACTTGGATTGTCAGTCCTACCTTGCACATCCAATCTTTCTCCATTTAAAAAATCCCCTTTTTATTTTTAGTGAGACGTGATTTAGAACAACAAAATTACATCATAAATTTGAATAATTCTTTTAGTATTACTATTTCTTTGATACATCACACATACCGCGAGGAATGATTTAATGGTAACATTTTAACGGGTAATTAAGTAATTAACTATATAAATGTACTTTCAAGTTCGTACTTTCAAATTTTGTTTTTGAATTTTTGAATGAAAAGGCAACAAAAAGGCTATTATGTTCTGAATGAAAGAATGACGTGCTTAATCGAAAAGGTAAAATGTAAAATGTACCATGTTATACTCTTTTTTAATAAAATTTTTATTATTAAATTATCCATTAATAAAATTACTTTTAAGGTGACAATATTTTAAAAATTACTCATTACACATCCTTGCTTAAAAAAGTGCCTTCTATTGTGCCTCAACTTTTTGAAAGGAAGAGAAATTAGTAAACTGGGTGTACCATGTTATTTAACATTATGTGGTACTTCCATCTGACCCTCACATTCACGTAAAATTGCGTGAAATTGGCATTCGGTTGCTTCATTCATCCATTGCCATATCAACTTTTATACACCAAATTGGCCTAAGCCGCTAAATCCAATCCCTTCTCTCTTTTTATTTGTTCTCTCTTTACACACCTAAGAAACGCGTCTTGCAATTTTTTTTTCAATTAATTTATTATGGCTTTGTCATTAATTTTAGAGATGTAAGAACGGGCTAGCCCGGCCCATTCTTCTTAAGCCTACACGGATCGTGGGTCGGGCCGGTCCATCCCACCGGGCCCGTATAAGAATTACATCGGCCTAAACCACACCACGGGCTAATTTTATGTGGACCAGGTTAGGCCGTGCTATGGGTCCCATTCAAAGTCCATCTTGGCCCATCATGGGTTTAGATGAACCAGTCCATTTAAGCATTTAATTTTTAATTTTAAAATTTTTAAACAAGTTAACAAATATAAAAGTTTAAATAGTACATGGAAATATGCAAAAAGGATATTTTATTTACGATTGCCTCATTAAATAAAAACATTTCTAAGGAAAACCCAGTAGGACAAAACCTTGATAAGGAAAAAAAAGTACAATCATGATAATTATACATAAGATGTTTACAAAATTACTAAAAAAAAGAAGAAAAACATGAAAATATTATGGGCCTAGATGAGCCGAGCTGGGCTAGCCCATTATGGGTCTAGACTAGCGGGGCTGGTTCAGCCATCATGAGCCTAGACGGGCCAACCCAGTCCAATCCAAACCCGACCTGGCCCATGATTTTTTATGGACCGTGCCGGGCCGGTCCATGAGCCGATATATGTTGGTCCAACTCAATCCACTAATATTTACAGGTTAGACCGTGCCTTAAATAGTGACAGGCTGTACCGACCCGGCCCGTCACTGTGTCAGGATGGGCCTAGGCCGGCCTATTGTTGCATCTCTAATTAATTTGCAAGGCCACAAAAATTAAATAAAAAGAAGAAAAAAAGGTGACGTTCGTTCCGCAACGCAAAAAACAATTTATATTGTGTATGTGAAAAAAAAAAATTATGTAATAAAAATATTCGTGAAAAATTACACTGTAATAATAAAAATTTATAACTTGAATTGTAAAATGAACAATATTAAAATTACACTGAAAACTAACGGAAGTTGACACCGTCGGAACCTAGACAAGAACGAGAGGAGTTATTCCCGAATCCAACAAAAGTTTCCATTGGTTATCGGAATATTTTAGTCAATAATTCAAAAAGATGGTGGGTGATCATTTTTGTCTGCTTTTCAAAATTTCAAAACCACTTTTGACAGTTTCACTAATATGATATGTGATATTACTAGAGCTTTGAGAAAGTCAAGACTGGGTCATGTTTTCTTCATCTTGACAGGCAAACACCCATGTGCAAACTGCACGGTGCATAGGTTTCTTAAATGAAGCTTTTCAGCGTTTGATTGAGATTTTTTTTTTTTTCCTTTTGATAAATTGAGAGAATATTTTATTTCGTTCACTTCGCAGATTTGAGTTTTTAATTTAAATTGAAATGTGATATTTTTTGTTAACTTTTTACTATAACAGAAAAAATTAAATATGACATTTTCTGATAACTTTTTACTGTAAAAATCTTAAATTAAAAACTCAAATCGGTAAAATGAACAATACCTCATGTTTTTTAACGATTTGAATTGAAAATTTAAGTTGTAATTGTAAAGTGAACATTTATATGAGAAAAAAATATTATAATAAAAAGATTAAATTTAAATTTTTATAATAAAAATTTTAGTAAAAATATTTGAATTGTTATTCAAATTGTGAATTTTTGAATCTTTTTAAATTCTTTACGCATGTGTTTTGTTTTATGTATTTTTAGTTTCTCCTGCTAACTAACCCGTAAATAGAATAATTAGCTTGGAAATAGAACAATGTTGTCGCTGTTTATTTGACCATTACCTATTCCATTATTATTTTGCATTGAATACTGTTTAGAGAATTTGTGGTGTTATTAATTCCATACCCATTTTTAATAATTTAAAGAGTAAAAAAAAAAAAAAGAGCTATAGAGTTCAAATCACACAATCTTAAATTTAGCAAAAACATTTCAATGATCCTATGTCCTATAGGGATTCATTTAGCTCCGTCGATCGGATTACAGATTCTCGAGTAAGTTTTATGAATCCTTTTTTTATTATCTTGGCCTATTCAATTCGTGAATTAAGAGAAATTGTAGTAAATATGCATGTTTTTATAACATGATAAAGTAAATAACATGTTTACTAAAGGTTATAAATTAATTGGCCATATTTAGTTTTAAAAGGATTTATTTAACCTTTTTACCCATATTCCTTAAACTACCTTTCTCCCTTCCCCTCTCCTTCCCTTTTGGTTATTTGAATTCAGAATTTTCATTTTAATTTAGGGGTATTTTCAGATTTTTAATCGAAAATTTACACTGTATTGGACTATTTACTAACTCTTTTCAAACTTAGACTTACCAATTTTTACTCCATTCTTAAATGAGCCTATTTCCCTCTTTCACCTTTAATAAATTCATTTCCTCCGTTTGGAGGCCTTACCTATTAAAAAAAAAGTTTTTAACTTGAGATGATTTCAGTCAAAGCCCAAAAGGACAAGAGTTAAAAATATAAAACTTCAATAAAATATGATGAAAATGAAATGATAAAAAAAAAATCATATAATGTCGATATTTTACTTTTTTACATCGTCCTACAAATTTTTTTTTCCCTACTCATTTATGTGCAAGAGAGAAAAATGAAAATGGCTAATTGCAAGCACTCTGCTCCGCGTATAAAAATATCAATATAATCCGACCCCACCGCCACCTTAAATTCAACAACTATAAAGCTAACTTTAGTTGGCGACGAATCCAACGGTAAGGTGCTTGTTTTTTATTTTTAATTTGTTAAAAATTAAAGTGCTTGGTCTTACCCCTCTCTCTCTATCTCCTTTTTTATTTTGCTAATTGTTCATTTAAATGCTGTTTAGTTCACTAATTTAAATTTTTAATTTGAATTTATATGTAATTTTATATGAGAACTTTTTACTATAGTAAAAAAATTAAATGTGACTGTTTCTAAAAGATTTTTACTGTAATAAAATTTAAATTATAAACTCAAATCGGTGAAATGAATGAGATCTTAATATGAGTTGAGAAAATTTAAAGTTTGTTTTAGTCATATTTTACTTGCTTGATATACACAACTGATTGTTTTTCACACAATTTGGAAAACTTAAAATATTTCTTTATATGAATCTTATCATAGTTATTTTTTATAAATTTTTCACATGCTATACTTAATGACAGTAAATTTACCACAAATTGTAACATTATATTAAAAAATATATTTTACATTCAGATATTAAATTTACCATTAACACATTAATTAATTAATTAATATGTTAATGGTACTATTTTTTTAATTAAATTTGTCGTGCGTTAAATTTTGTGGCGAATTTACTATCAAGCATGATGAAAGAAGAATGCCAGCGAAGCAGAGAGCTTTTCTTTTTCCTTACGCCAATTATCGCAAGAGGAGTAACAGATGACATGATGATTACATTCTCTCTCCAACGTCCTAAGTTGTAACAAAAGTCCAACCAACAAGAAAAAATAATAATAATAATAATAAATGAAAGCTAGAAATTAGAAGAAAACAAAAGAAAAATAAAAAGCATCTGGCCTGGTAGGAAGGCGCAGTAAGAGGAACAAAAGGAGGCAGCTTGTCAGATTAGGGTTCTTATTAATTTAATTCCCTCCAGATAAGGTGAAACCATTCTGGTATGGAAGCTTCAGTTCTTCCCTTGCCGTTTCTATTTTCAACTTTTTTTTTTTAATCATTTTCTTTTTTTATTCTTACTTTCAGAGAGATCTTTCAATTTTGTGCAATATTGGGAGGGAAATAAATGAATTGGTTATTGGGTTTTCTTCTAATTTAGTAAAATACCAAAATCTTCCCTTTATATATGTACCCGAGCATGTTTTTCCCCAACTTTGTTTAGGTTTTTTTTTTTCTGTTCATCTTTTGGTCGGTGTGTCTAGAAATGACGCAAGATTCTTTCTTTGTGATGATTTTAGGAGGGATTGATGCTACACTACGGAGTTTTGGATCTATTCTTTGATGGGTTTTCCTTGAATGACAATTTAGAGATTGATTGATTATTAATCATTATTTCGTGAAAGTCAGAATTAAGTGTAAAATGGAAAACCAAGCAGTTTTTGGTGAAGGGACTTGTGTGAATGTAGTGAGAGAAGAAGATGAAGATGAGTTTCGGAGCTGCTGTGAAGATGAGGAGGTTTGGAAGGATACTGAAGAACCGGTCAAGGAAGAATCAAAGAGTGATGATAGTCTTGATGAGTTTACGGTTAAGATGTTCTTCAAGGGATTGTCAATTGATTGTTTCGGGGACTCGAGTTCTGGGGTTTCTGGAATTGGGGTGTCCATGGAAAGGTCATTGGATTTTCCTGTTATTAAGGTGCAGAAAAGGCTTGACTTTTATGTGGAGGAGCCTGTGGCAGAGTATTTAGCTCTGATGGATGGTCTAATGGAGGCTTCTCAGAACAATATCCGCCGCGTTTATGCTTTCACCGATTCGGAACTGCTGTATGATCAGGTGAGCAAGCTATTTTCTGAAGAAATTTTGCTTGTTTATCTTCTAATATCTTATGCAATCTATAAAATCAGTAGCTTTGTTGGAAGTCTAGTGTTATATCGTTTTTCTCTTTTCATTAAATTTTACATTTTTATATGACATTATTTTTGTATTGGTGGAATTCAGGCCTTTTTTTGTTGTTGTTGTTGCTGTTGTTGTTGTTTCCTTAAGTGACGTGGGGGAACTTTGTGTTTGTGGAATTTTACTAATCTTTTGGCTTTGGTACAATACATGTGTATTGTTTTCACTCTTGTTTTATGAGTAGTTTCCATTGCTGGATGAGCGTGAATGACTTGCAAGGTCGTAGTTACTTCTTAAGAGCTTTCGCCACGACTCTTGTTCCAGCACTATGTTTTTTGTTACTTATGGTCACTAATTTCACCGATAAGTAAAGTCCATTAGCAATTGCTATATCTTCTTCTGTACATAAGTTTATTGTCATTTACTTTCAGGAAAAAAGAAAAGATTTGATTGCTAAAGGTTGCTCATTCTTTTAAAACCGTGAGCTCTTTTGGGGACTGCTTGTAAGGATGTAATCTTCTTTATACTTCATGCCAAGTGTAATCTAATGACATGTGTTTCTGACAGATAACAAATAATAAAGAACTTGAGATTCCACTCTTGGTAGCACTGAGGGAAAGGATTCTAGAGCATACTAGTAAGCTTGATGCTTTTGTTCTGAAATGTGTTCCTAGTGCTGATGTTGTGCAACCGTTGAAACTAGCTCAAGTGGCAATGGGTGTCATCTCTTTTCATGCCAAGGGGGATTCATTACTTGAAAACTGTTCAATTTGTTGCGAGGAAAAATCTTACTTAATGATGATCACTTTGAAATGCTCTCATAAATTCTGTTCTCACTGTATGAGGACCTACGCTGATGGAAAGGTTCAGTCCTCTCAAGTCCCTATTAGATGCCCTCAGTTGAAATGTAAATATTACATCTCTAGTGCGGAGTGCAAATCTTTTCTTACATCCAGTTCTTATGAATGTTTTGAAAAAGCCCTTGAGGAAGCAAACGTTTCTCACTCGGATAGGATTTATTGCCCATTTCCAAATTGTTCTGTCCTGCTTGATCCTCATGAATGTTTATCAGCAAGGGCAAGTTCATCAAGTCAATCGGATAATAGCTGCATCGAGTGCCCTGTTTGTCAGAGGTTTGTCTGTGTGGACTGTGGAGTTCCTTGGCATTCATCAATGAGCTGTGAAGAGTATCAAAATCTCCCGTTGGAGGAGAGAGATGCTTCAGACATTACATTATATCGCCTGGCACAAAATAAACGATGGAGGCGCTGCCAGCAGTGCCGCAGGATGATTGAGCTCACACAAGGTTGCTACCACATGACATGTTGGTAAGAGTGCCCTCCTTCTAGATATTATTCTGACATTTTCTGAATGATTTAGATTATGTAGCAAGCAGTGAGGAAAGTAAATTGTTTACTTATCAAGTACAGGCAGTAGTAATATTTAGAAGAAGATAAGTTGGAGAAAACATCATACAAGGAAGTATATCATAAAACCTACCAAACTAGAGCATGGTGATGTAAAAATGTTAGCAGTTTAAATATCTGAAAAGAAGAAAATGAAAGCTTGGATGCACCCAAAATAAGAAAGATAAGATATCATAGTTTCAGGGTATTATTTGTGTGAATGGGATAAAAAGGTCATTTTCTTAAAAGAGAGCTTTTAAGTTGTGTGAAAAGAACTGCCACGAGCACAAGTTCTAAGAAAAGGCCAAGTCATTCCAAGCCAAATATCTGTCATTCTTGGCCTTTTTTTTTTTTTTTTTTGTGGCTCTGAATTTGCGCTTGGTCTTAGCAACTAGACTGGTTTTATTTTTTTTTATTTTCTTTTATGGGTGTTTGCATTCTTCACATTAGTCGGGTAATGCCTACTTAAAGTGAGATGCCTGCACGCAACCCAAATTTCTCAGCATTTTGAACTAGTACTTGTCCTACTGGTAGTCTTTGAGTTAGTTCTATCTGTCCTGGCATCGCATTTACTTTAGCGCAGTTATTTGTTTATATTTTTGCAATAAGTGACTATTTGTTCATTTTAGGGCATGTTCTTTTGGAGTGTGACTTGAGTGTAGTTTTTGAGTTCAATTTGAGTTATAACTTGAGATGAAGTTGTAACTTGAGTTTGTGTTTGGTTGTGTACATTTGAGTTATGTTTTGAGATGAGAATCTTTTTGGCCCTGTGTGGAGTTGGTTTTGTTTCTATTTTTCACGTTTTTCGAAAAAGAAAAAATGAAAACGGGAGAGAAACTGCGTTTGGCACAATTAAAGACAAAAAACGAAAATGAAAACGATTTTTTGATTTAATGTAAAATGAGAGAATGAAAAACGACTTTTAGTCGTTTTTCATTTTTTGTTTCCGTTTTCTCCTCTCTCGAGCACAGAGAAAGAGAGAGAGACATTAATGGATTTTTTTATACTGAAAACAATCTCTTGATAAAACTACCAAACGCATTTTCAAAAATGATTTCTGTCTGAGATTGAAAACATTTTCATTTTCATTTTCATACAAAAAATAAAATCATTTTGGAACGAGTTCCAAACGCACCATTTGAGTTTGTGTTGGGGTGTATAATAAGACTTGAGTTGTGAATAGTGGGGATAGAAAAAATATTTTTTTCCCGTATTTGATTTAATGCTACAAACAACATGTCGTTTTATTTTTCTCCTCTAAAAACGACAACAAACTTTTTAGTTACAACCATTCAGTAAAAAATAAAAATAATAACAATAAATAAAAAAAATGGAACCAGGAGGAGGTAGCCGAGCCTCCATCCCCAAGCATATATTCCTTCTCTACTTCCTGAAAAACTGATCCCCCTCTCCCTCTCTCCCCCCTTTCTCTCTCTACAACCCATTTCAAGTTGTACCTCTGAACAAAAACAAAAGAAGCCCCTTAAATCCACTAAACGACAAACAACCCATATCCTTTTCCCCTTCCTCAGATTCGATCTCTCCGATCTAGGTCTGAAATGACGGCTCGTTGATGTTTCTCTTCGATTGGTTCTACAGCGTCCTCGCTTCTCTCGGGTGGTGGCAGAAGGAAGGCCAAATCACATGGGTGAGGAATCTCTCAGGCGGTGCTTTTTTAGGAATATGTACTGTAGAAGTGCAGAGAGGTAAACTCGAGTAGCAGGGGGAGGATGAACTTGAGAAAGGGGTAGGTAACTCGAATTTAATTTCGAGTTTGGTTTTGAGTATACCGGCGCAGAATGCGAACTTGGCCCAAGTTCATCACTTGAGTGAGCCTTTCTCAAGTAAATCTACTTAACTGAACAGCCCTTTAATATCATGTCAATATGATTCTAAAATTTGTCGAAATAACATAATCAAAGGGTCCTAAAAATGGAGCCTTTTCTTGAAAAAAGAAGAAGAAAAAATAGCTAGTAAGAAAATGGTCTTTTCTTGCTTTGATGACGAGGCTGAAAACTCCTGTGTTTTTGAACAAAGATGAGTCCCAGTATTTTAATTTAAGTGGCTGTAATGTGGAGCTTATCAATATCCTCTTTTGCATGATTATGAAGGAATTTACTGTGCTAGATATGCAGAAATTAAAGTCCTCAAATTTATTCCAAATTATTAAATCTTGATCCCACTTACATGTCTCCCATGTTCAGGTGTGGACATGAGTTCTGTTATTCTTGTGGCGTCGAATATAGGGATGGCCAACAGACTTGTCAGTGTGCATTTTGGGATGAAGACAGTTCTGAAGACCTAGTGACCCAGTCTCTGCAAGAATCAGAGCAATGGGCGTGGGAAACATTCAATTCGCTCCCGATGATCAACGCATACTCAGACCAAGAGAGATCGCAATTAGCGTTAATCCAAAGGTTCCTCTCCGGGGGCTTCAGTCTCAGCGACCATCACCCTTACCAATCCCCGCCTCGGTGTACAGATTCCTACGTAGATGCCATGAAGGATATTCATCAGCTGCCATGGCTGGAGAGGTTCGTTTCTGTGATCAGTGACAACTACTACGAAGATTATATTCAATGAAGGTGTTAAAGGGAATCTTCTGGTAAATACAAAAAAATAAGCTGCTTGCTTAGCATTCTCTACTTTACTTGAATGGAGGCAAAGAGTTTCTCGCTCTATTACTCCGTTGTCATCTACTTCATATTTATTTTATGCTTGCAGATTTGTGACTTGAAAAGGTCATTGCATAATATGACAGGGAAATATGCTTTCATAATTGCTGTCTCCTTGAAAAAAAAAAAAAAAACAGAGAGAGACAGGAGAAACACTGTTATGTCAATGAATGGACAGACATTTACTATCATGTTGTAAATTAAAAACGAAAGAATGAAACACATTTTCCTTTCTAGTATTAGTACATATAGTACAATCCCCAACCTTTATTTTATTTTGCTGAATCACTTGCCCTTTTATTGAAGCAATAAAGAGGCTTATGAATTTTATTTTAAACCTTGATCAAATTTACTGCATATGGCAAATGAGCTTGTTTTATATATTCTCCTTGAGGCAGTTGAAGAGTTTTGAATGATAACACAGAATCTGTCTCTTTCCATACGATATTGTATTTTTTTTTCTTCGTTTTTCAGCGCTTGATCGCATTCTCTTTGAGCCTTCTTTTCACACTTTGCGATTATTTCCATCCGAGTTGATACTCGTGGATGCGACATACGATTCACATTTTGAGAGCCGGGTTTTACGGGTGAAGAAAATTGCTGAGTATGATATTTGGGATGTCGATTTTAGGAGGTTAGAATGCACAACAATTAGGACATACTTGATATTATCACCACAAGAACAAATGCCCTCATGCCATTTCCATCCATACTTTGTTCTCTTTCTGTTTGCCTAATACTGAAATCATTTTGTAAGAGACGATTGTTGGAAAACATATTTAGTATGGCAGAAAATTTCTTCTCTAATAAATAAATTGAAATATAATATCATAATGTCCTCTGAACAAAGCTAATTTATACTCGATGCAAGCAAGCAAGTACCCCTTAGATGTTACCGAAGATATGTTCTTGGTTAGAATTGTGGAAGACCGTTTTAAGTGATGATTAAGGGACGTAGAAACTTGAACTTCGAATATATAAATGAAAAGAAACAATAGGTAAAATAAGTAGAAACTCTGCACATCCAATGTTCATCAAGTTAATAAATGTTTGTTTTTCGCTTTGGTATTTGTTTTATTAAATTTTTTTTAGAGATATTAGCGGTTTACGTAATTCTTTTAGGAAAAGTACTTTAAATATGTTTTTACGTACTTGCTTAGTAAGGTAGTTCACCTAAGACCCTCCGCGCCTTTACTATGTACTTGCTTAGTAAGGTAGTTTTGTCTAGGAGGCTGTTCAGATCTATCCTTTATTGATAGAACTAGTGTATTCATTTATAGTCTTTCCTAATAATTACCTAGTCGGTACAGTTACTGTACGGGTACTGTTAACAGCTATAGTGAAACAGTGGGAGTTAAGCAAATAACGAAATGACTGGAAAAATTTGAAATAGAGAAGTTCAACGGAAACAATTTCACGTCGTGGAAAATGAAGATGCAAGCAATTTTACAGAAGGATAATTGTCTGGCGGCTATCGGAGAAAGACCGCAAGAAATCACAGACGATGGTGAGTGGAACGAGATGGATGGTAATGCTATTGGCAATTTGCACTTGAAATTAGCAGACGTGGTTCTATCAAGTATCTCAGAGAAGAAAATAACGAAATAAATTTGGGATACTCTGACGAAGTTGTATGAGTCCAAGTCACTTCACCCCAAGATTTTCTTGAAGAGAAAACTTTATACTCTTTGGATGGTGAAATCCACACTGGTAACCGACCATATCAACAACCTGCAGACTCTATTCGCTCAGCTTACATCGTTAGGTCAGAAGATAGTGGAAAATGAACGTGCAAAGATACTTCTTCAAAGTTTACCTGGTTTGTATGACCAACTCATCATCAACATAGCCAATAGTAATGTTGTAGAAAGCCTACGCTTCGAAGATGTTGTAGGCACAATCCTCGAAGAAGAAAGTCGGCGCAAGAACAAGAAAGACAGGTTGGCAAGCTCACAGCAAGCAGAAGCTTTGATGCTGATGAGAGGGAGATCAACAGAACATGGCCCCAGTGGGAGTCAAAGTCACCGTAGATCAAAATCTAAGAGTAAGAATAACATGAGATGTCACAACTGTGGCAAGAAGGGGATACTCTAACTAGATGAGTGTAAGGTTAAGAAGATTGAAGAGAGGAATTGTCAAGGGATTGTGGCAAGTAGCTCAACTGATGGTGACGTCTTATACAACTAGGTAACAACAATTGTTGAAGGCAGACATAAGCTCATTGATTTGTGGATAATGGATTCAAAAGCATCATGGCACATGACCACCAGAAGATAATGGTTCCATTAATACGAACCAATCTCAAAAGGATTAGTATACATGGGAAATGAGCATGCCTTGGAGATCGCTAGTATCAGCACTATCAAACTGAAGATGTACAATGGCACTGTTCGTACTATACAGAAGGTATGACACGCGAAGAGCCTGAAGAAAAATCTATTGTCTTTAGGACAATTCGACAATGCTTGTTACAAGACCCATATTGAGAATAGGATCATGAAAATTATTAAAGGTGCGCTTGTGCTGATGAAGGCGGAAAAAGTTGCTGCAAATTTGTACATGCTTTTGGGAGAAACACACCAAGAGAGAGAGTCATCTGTTGTATCGACGAGTTCAAGAGAAAAATCAATGATGATATGACATCGGAAGCTCGATCGTATGTCGAAACGAGGTTTGACTATTTTCTCTAAACAGAAACTACTTCCTGGGCTCAGCTCAGTAAATTATCGTTTTATGAGCATTGTGTTACAAGTAAGCAGCAGAGGTTAAGGTTCAGCACATCAAAAGTTAAGAGCAAAGACATCTTAGAATTAATCCACTTTGATGTTTGGCAAGCACCAGTATCATTCCTTGGAGGGGCGAGATACTTTGTATCTTTTATTGATGATTACTCCGGGCGATGTTGGGAGTATCCAATCAAAACGAAAGCTAATGTTTTTGAAGTCTTTGAAGTTTTCAAAGCGAGGGTGGAACTTGAATATGAAAAGAAGATCAAGTGTATACGGACTGACAATGAAGGAGAATATACAAGCGATGAGTTTGATGCATTCTGTCAACAAAAAGACATCAAGAGACAGTTCACGACAGCGTACATTCTGTTGAAAAAATTCAGAATTGGGAGGATGAAAAGAATAGAGAAAGCAGAAAAAGGGTTTAAGGCGTATAAGAGTACTTTCCTTTAAGGTTTTATTTGCCATCACTTCTCAAAGTTTGCTAATGAGTTTTTAAATGGCAAATTACCCCCAAGATACAACAAACCCTTAAACACAATATCTAGCAAAAAATATTGAGTTCCAAAACAATAATAATTCTGTATTTTCTGAAGTCCATAGAATAAAGACAGGGATGCATCCATCCTCTTTAAGTGTTACAACCTTTCACATAAAGATACCTTTTCAATTTGAAGGTTATCTTTTATATGCTGATGCACTTATATCAATAGTTATTTCTATTGTTAATAAGTGCTCAGATATGTGAGAAAACATATCACAAATAGATACAATGGGCCGAGACCTTTTCAGATCACTAAAACACACGAAAACACATTTTTCGTTAACAATTTACGCTGCAGCGCTCGGGCTACGCAAAACAGACCCGAGAGGTCTGTTTTGTGCGCGCTGCAGCGCCCAAGAGGCGCGCTGCAACGCGTCCGTGCGCTGCAGCGCGCGGGCTTAGCAAAACAGACCTGAGAGGTCTGTTTTGCGCAGGCTGCAGCGCGCGCTTGTGTCCGCCCACTCTTCCCGAATGTGTTTTAAGCCAATTTTATGATATCAAAATTGAGAGATATATTATAATCTCTCTAACAATCCCCCACTAGATTGTAATATTTCTTCAGAATTAACAACGATAAACACATACATACATGAAGGTATATTTCGATTTTAACCTTTACTTATTGACTATACTTCAAAGTATTCACAAGACAATAGTGTGCTTTGCATTAAACTTTGTCTTTTAAGCAAATACCGGAAATATATCACATATGTGTTATCCTAGATTTCAAAACTGTTCCAATCGTTTAGCACTATTCCGGCTTTGTGCTCTATCTTGGATTCATGAACATTTATAAGACTAAACCAAGGTCTTGTTAGGAACGGCACCATTCCTCATGTTCACTTAGGTGACGTTCGAATTATATCTCTAGCTACTAAGAGACTCAAACTTCATTAAGAGTATAAACTCAACCTCAAACACGTAGCTATTTTTGCACCAATATCCTGGAAGGGTCTAATTAAAGTTCGGTGCTAACCCGTCATATAACAATAATTTGTTCTTACCCATTTAACTATGGAATAGCGGTACAACTATTACATAGTTGGGTTACCATCATTGGTGACTCTTTCAAAGAAAGGTTTCAGTCCCATTCCACTAGATGTTTCTTTGACTAAGTCTCTTGAAAGACCTTTTGTCAAAGGATCCGCTAGGTTCTTGTTTGTCCTAACATAAACAATATTAATAACACCATCGGTTATTAATTGTTTAATATACTCATGTCTCAAGCTAATATGTCTAGATTTTCCATTATAAACATTGTTATAAGCTCTAGACAAAGTAGCTTCACTATCACAGTACAAAGAAATAGATGGCATCGGTTGTGGCCACAACTCAATATCAAACAATAGATTTCTTAGCCATTCTGTTTCTTTGCTTGCAGCGGCAAGTGGTATAAACTCACTCTCCATCGTAGAGTGAGTTATGCACGTTTGTTTCTTAGAAGCCCAAGAGACGGCTCCTCCTGCAATTGTGAAAATCCAACCGGATGTAGATTTATTATCATTTGCACTTGTTATCTAACTTGCATCCGAGTACCCTTCAAGTACGGTCGGATAGTCATTATATGACAAACCCAAGTTAATGGTTCTTTTAAGATAACCAAGTACTCTTCCAATTGCATTTCAATGTTCGATACCTGGGTTACTCGTGAACCTAAACTTTTGGCATACTGCAAATGCTATGTCGGGTCTTGTACAGTGCATAGCATACATTAAGCTACCGATCGCACTAGCATATTCAAGCTGTACCACCGCTCTGCCTGCATTCTCTAGTAATTTAATACTAGAATCATATGGGGTATTTGCTTCTTTAAACTTCAAATGATTGAATTTAAGAAGCACCTTCTCAATATAATGAGATTGACACAACGAGTAACCTCCATTATGCTTCCTTACTCTTACACCTAAGATAGTATCTACTTCACCAAGATCTTTCATCTTAAATTGTGAAGTTAGATATTTCTTGGTAT